CTTTTGAATGTGCAATACAATTGCGGTCACATTAACAACGACAACCGCAATTGTGACCACAGAAAAAATATTTTTTATTATTGACAGAGTTGCGAGTGCAGTTATTGCTAGCGCGAGAGCGGAGTTAACTTCATACATACATACATCAAAACATATATACTTAAATACATACATTCATCCATACATACATACATACCTACATACATACATACATAAGTAGATATTTACATACATTCATATATACATACATACATATATACATACATGCATACATATGCCCCAGTGGTATCCCCTCTGTCCGGTTGCAGTATGCAATCAGTAAATTCTTGGCTGAAATCGTTTACGGCCTTTTGTATCATCAATACAACGCCGCTCTATTAGCTTACCATTGCCCCTGCCTGCTGTCGTTGTTACCATTATACATATGTAGGTATGTATATGCACCATTTTAGCAATCCATTGACTACCTGTCGGCCTGGCGAGGCTGGCAGATATTTAGCGACTTGCTGCTGTGAGTTTCTGTTCGCCGGTTAAAAATAGATACAATAGCAAAAATGGTTAAATGTTGGGTTGGTTGGCTACAATGGCTGACTCGCGACGCCTCTTTCGTTGTAAATGGGTTGGTGCAGCGACTCACTCGTGTGTGCATACAACTTTCAACTGTATGTTCGTTTTGGCGTATGTGTGTTGTAGTTGAACTGTATGCTACTTCACACTTTACACTTCGATATCCAACACACCCAGTCAGTTGGTATCGGCATGCATGCCGTCTTAACCCACTCTCCTTTCTAGATTTTCATGTTATTGTTGAGCTAGCCGCAGTTGCATTTAATAGCAATAGCAAGATTGAAATGTGTGGCGTCATAAGCCGGCCGGTGAACTCATAGGAATCTAGGCACATAAGTATTGATATGTTATGTCATAGCTTTATTCCATAAAAATTTGCGCTTTTCAGTTATGTTTTTTTATTTCAGTATTATAATTAAGAATTATGCAGCTGTTGGATATTAATAAAAATTAAAAACTATTTCGAAATATAATATAAAAGACTTGTGCAGAAGACTTTGAAAATGGTAAAAAGTGAAAGAAATTCATAAAAGCTTGCGACCTATTTGGAAGCGCAAATAACAAAAATTAAGGAAAAAATAATTTACAATCTGAGGTCGTGAAGGAATTTTTCACACAAAGTTTGATGTTATTTGTGAAGCGCGTAAATACAAAAGTTGTAGATCTTTTCATGGCCTACAACTTTGCCACTATACTTTTTTCTATAAGACTCGTAGTTTTGTTGGAAATCGAGATAAACCGTTTTTAACACTTAAATATTCAATCACGCCCTCGCCTTCCTATTCACGACCGCAAATCGCTCGTAAATTATTTTTCCTTTAATTTTTGTTTGTTTGGTTTTCAACTTAGTAGCTTATGTTTTGTTTTTTGTTCAAAAATTATTTACCCTGGTCAATAAAGCTAAAAGAATTTCAGCAATTTTGAAGTGCTGCCTGTTATTTTATTATTTTACATAAATTCTGAGCCACACAGGCAGGTGGAAATTTTAATTTGACGTCCACAGAAAATTTTAAGATAAAATCGTTGTAATATTTTCTCAATACAGCATGTATTACTGTAAAAAATAACGGTTAACGGTGTTGAGTAGCTAAAGCGTTTTTTTGTTGAAAGAATTGTAAAGCATGGACTTGAAAGAGTTTCGATCTCAGCAGTTATCTAGTAAGCCAATATCTAGTAAGCCATTCACAAGGCAGGCTAAACCGCCACTAGGCCTTGGTGAAATAGAGCACATTAGAAAATAATATAAATAAAATAAATTTCAAAAATATAGATATTGTTTCCTCTCCCATTTGATCAAAAATATAATTTGTTAATTCATAATATCTATCTTGGTTAAAAACAGTCATATAGCGAAAATCTTTAAGAAGTTGTAATCATATTCAAGGTTAAAGTCCAATATACGTAAAATATAATTTTCACAATATATAGGTATTCTTTCACAAAATAATGTCCCAAAAACTTAAAATATATCTGGGCTCTAGTAGGTTTAATATATATAATAGGTTTATAAAAATATATATCTCACAAACCACTAAAGCTATCTCAACTAAACTTGTTGAGAACAAGGCCTGCTAGCTCCTCCTAATAAACATTGAAAATGGATGAAATCAGGTAATAAACAACAACTTTGATCCGTGAAAAGTTTTAGATTTCCAAGCTAAAATGCTTCAAAACAGCCGATGTCAAAAGTTAATAATGGGTGTGGCTCCGTCCACCTTTAGCTGACATTCTATATCTAAAGTACTAATCTACCAATTTTAACCAATTTATATGATTGCTTCACTTTGCGTTATATAAATTAAGCACCAATGAAGATATCAAAATAAAACTATGCGCAAATAGTGACTTTAGAGCATAACATCGCGCGCCAAAAGTTTTTGATTCCCCGAATATGTGGACCCTCGTGCTGCCCTTTTACCGAAAATAGCTGTCAATCTGTGAGTTCTGTTATTGAGATTCAGAAAAAACTTTTCCCGATAATAATGTGCCCTTGTGTTAAAAATGTGAAACTAAGTGAGTCTACGACGACCTCTAACATAAGTTAAGGGGTACATGAATTTTAGGTAATTTTTAAAGTGTCGAAAAAAAAGCAATCAATATTTTAATATCGATTTTTTTTTTATCAGTTATTTATTAATGTTACTTATTTTTACAATTTTTTTATTTCCTTGTATATTTTAAAAATTTGAAAAATTGATTCTCTGAAAATTTCAAGCAAACCGGTCCAGTAGAACTCGAGAAATCGAGGGTATCGTATTGAAAAAATCTGGTCTGAGAAAAACGCCTTTAAAGTTTCGCGTAAAGTCTTTTGTTCGATTAGACCCAGCGGAACCAGTTTGACGGCCGGGTCAGTAAAATGTCCATATCTCCGAAAATAATTTAAATTTTCAAAAATCCTCGTAGATATATTCTTAAATAGTTTAACTTTGCAAACATGAAAAAAAAATCGATATTTTTGAATTTCTACACTAGAATACCCCCTTAATAAAATACCAAAATTGATTGTAGTCTATTCACAGTTTCGTCGAATAATCAATATTGAGTGCTTACGCAACGCTTTCTAATGTAGAGTAAAATATGTCTCCGGCTTTAAACTTCAAAAATGCAAGAATATAAAATTGTCGGTTACAACCGAACTTTCTTTCCTTACTTGTTTTTATTTCGTTTTTTCGGATGATATTTTCTCAGTTTCTAAGGAAAAAACTTTCAATTTGTTTTTGACTCACCCTAATCAAGCTAGCTGATTTTTAGTTCGCTTAGCTATTTTTATGTTCTTAAAAAGCCCGTAAACTCATTTAGTCAAAAAAAGCTGTCTCTTCGGTCCCAAGACCGGTAAGTAACATCTGGAGAAAGTTCATAAAGGATTTTCCACTTAAAAATTTCTAATTTGTGCACCTAATGGTGAAGCAAATTCTATGTTCGATACAGTATTTTGTGTGTAGTAGGAAGAAGCATCAAAAGCCGGAGTACGGAATTTTAATCCGCTAAACCTAACCTAACCTACTTCCAATTCAAGACTCTTCCATTAATATCGATACCGTAGGTTAAAGAAACACAATACTGTGAAAAATATTGCTTTCACTGAAAACATGTATTTAGTATCAAACAGCTCTAGTTGTTTCAAGATCAATTTATAAAACCGTGTTATATTTTCAGGTTAAAAACAAACTTTTATTATTTCTAAAGCAAATTTTGTGTTAGGCTGATTTACACAGCTTGTAGTCTACTAGTAGAGTAGGAAGAATCGTACCATATTCTATATGCAGGGCATAACATATATCTATATTTATATTTACCGTGGTATTTATTTGTGGAAACTTATTTTAGAACTTCCAGATCTTACAAGTGTAAATATTGCCTCCTAAGAAAAAACACTAAAAACTTACTATGAACACATACAATTCTGTCTACTCTATAAGGGTTCAGGCATTGAATAAATGAGTGACAGTTGTTAAATCTTTTATTATACACAACTAGTTCAGTTAAGGTTATAGATCACAAGTCATGACCGAACTCCATCGCAAAGCCACGAAAAGCGCATGACAATTTTTTTTTTCAAAATATAAAAATAAACTTTTTTGAGACGCTCGCAAAGCCTTAATTGCTTTTTGTCGCTGGTTCTGTTTTCTTTTTTTTTATTAAAGTGTTTAGAACGGATTTTTGATGCACTGAAAAAGGTAATCACCATTCACTTTGGAAAGTACTTACTTGTGAATAATAGCGGCGAATTGTGACTTTAGATTTGCTTCAATTTATATGCCGCCAAAAACTGAATTTATTGCGGTAAATGAAAAACGTGATTTTCATAACAAATTGATCGCGGCCACAAACTCAAGCCGCTGAAGAAAGAAGCAGCAAAAGTCAAATTGCGCTGCTCCAGCTTAGAGTCTAGGTAGGTCAGATTAGACAGGCATTGGGCATATGAAAATTGTGTTGCATACAACAACATGGAATGAAAGGCAGGCAAAAAAATTGATCGCAACTTCATGGTGGCTTTCAAATGTTATTTTTTTTTTTTACTTTTACTGAAGTATTGCTTTTCCGTGTCTTTGTGACTTTTTCCTTTTATTTTGCATGCAGTTCACTGCGAATGACAACGAATTGCAAATTTATGATTGGAAATATCAATGATAAAGTAAATGAAAAAAAAAGAAGAGGATGACTCGGGCTTTGTATGCGGTATGTGAGATATTGGGAGATGCATGTACGTTTGTTCGGAGAAAGTAGAAAAGTTGTGGAAAATCATGCCATCATCTCGCATGCAATTTATTTTGTGCTAGTTAATGGGAATTCACGATTATTAAAATTATTTTAACAGCAAATGATTTATCAGTTTATGAGCAGTCGCCATTGATTTTATTAACAGCGTACATATGTACTTACAAGCCACATTTTTTTCTTTTTATTAATTACAAAATTTAATTTTATTTCAGAACTTCTTCAGACTGCATCGTCTGCGAAAATTGGGCTTAAGTGATAATGAGATAGCCCGATTGCCTCCAGATATACAGAATTTCGAGAACTTGGTAGAACTAGATGTTTCGCGAAATGGTGAGTGCCAACTAATTTGCATTGATTATTTAAAAAATTACTAGATTATATTACAGTTAAGTGAGTGTTGCCACTTAAATAGCAAAAAAGAAAAATCTATGCGAAATTACTAATTGTAATGCATTATATGAAAGGAAGTTATAAAAAAGGAGATGATTTGAGCATAAATATATACATACATACATATATACAATAGTACATATAGTTCACATTCCGGTCTTGTAATCTTAATCTTTAAAAAATAATAATTGTAGGATGGAGCTCTTTGGTTTTAGAGTTTACAACGAAAATGAAAGGAAAAATAATTTAAGAACGATCTGGTGTCGATTGTTGTGGGGAGAGGGTGATTGCGCTTTTAAGGGTATCTATCAATCTATCTCGATTTCCGGCAAAATTACAAATCCTGTGAAAAAAGGTTTGATGGCAAAGTTGTAGGTAATAAAAAGTTCTACAACTTTTGTGTACACAATTTTTTCACATAACCTCAAAATTTGTATGAAAAATGCATACAACTGAGTTTTTCGTTTTTTTTTTTAACTTTTACAATTTTTTTTCACAAAATTTGCTGTAAAATTACTTTTTTGTGTCCGAAACGCACTACAATGTTTTGATCTAGAATATTTATTTATTTTTTTCACCTTATTTTGACTTAATATTGAAATTATATTCAGCCGAAACGCCACGCCAAATTTTTTTGTTTTTTAAGTATATTGAGCTTTTTCTTCATTGAAATCTCTATTTGCTGATGATGTACTATGATAAGTTTTCTTAGAAAATGTAAACAATGACCCCGAAAAAAGATTCAAAGCTGTTTTTTCACTTCATCTTACTGTTCTGTATATCGCATACTGGCGAAATTAGCAGGTAGATGAAATAAAAAAAAAATTATTTTACTTGTATTCTTTTCCAATCGATTTCATCGTTCTATTATTATTAGTGCACTTTTCACCATTTGCAAAGCCCTAGTATATTAACTTATTTGAAAATCTTTTATTATTTTTTTTTCTAACTAAATACTCACATCCCTAGTGTTAATCTTATACAAAGAGCACCTCGCTGCCTTTAGTCCTTGTTCATTTCTATTCGAATTGTTGCACTCAATTAAATTCATTATTGCAACTTGTTCTTGTGTCGATCTGCTATTGAATTGCAATAGATTTGCCAACAATAATAGCACTGAAATCTAATCAGAATTCTCATCACTCTGCCATCAATCCGTATTGCTTACCATTGTACCGTTTAAATGGAATTCGCTATTATTTAAAGAATTATGCTCGTGAATAGTGGCCATCAGCCGCCACTGTGAATGACGTCAATGTACTTATGTATTTGCCAGACGGAGTGAGTTACACATTTTGCTCTTGAATATCTTAATTGCATATTATTTTTTCCGCTAAAAGCAAATGCATGTACTCACTTGCTCGCGGAAACATTGCATTCGCATTGGCTTATCGTGCCATCAATATGCTTCTCATCATTGAACAATTGCGCTAAATATGGTATCAATCCGCGAATTAATTAAGTGCAAGAAATACAAGAAACAACATTACAAGTAGATAAACCGATGCTTTCGTTTTCAGGGTCAACATTAATCATAATTGTTGTGTAAAACATGTTTGCATCTCTTGTTTTTATGAATGAAGCGATATCGAATAAAAAATATATGTCCCTTCTCAGTGCATAATTCTTCAGCTCAAGAGAATTTTGAGAAATCAAAGTTCTTAAGCGGGTGACATGGGTTTCACGACGTCAAAAAGTCGTTATTTTTATTGTTTTATTTAATTCTACGATATCTCAAAAATATTGTCCAATATTGTTGTTCAACATATTTCAAGTAGTAACTTTGGAGATACAACCAGCTATTGTCGCTCCAAACTTCAAACACTTTTTGTAGAAACTATGTTTCCAAAGATTTCTCGACGACTACTCTACCGATTTGGATCGAATTTTACACAAGTCTTCGAGATGTAATTCCCAATAGTTTGAGCGAAGATTTTCTTCGATTGCGACTTTTAAAAAATTAGAGCAGTTTTAGCGTTAAAAAAAAAAAATAATAATAAACTGCAAAAAATCCAATTTTACATTTGTCGTTATTTAACTAAAACGTTACGATCTTAAGTAATATACGATTTTTTTTATCAGATGAACTTGTAAGAGACACGCCGCTTTTTCGAACGTCGCCAGAAATGATGTCACAATTTCGGTGTTTTGAATATTTTTTTTTTTACTAGAATTTCAGCAATTCTTCGTATAATATGTATCTTTAAGACGGTAAAATTCAAACTTTTTACAATATAAATTTTTATTAATTTTTCCCCGATGAAACCCATCTAAAGATAGCTTTTTTTGTCGTGGTGATAATAACCGAAACCTTAAGTTTTGAAATGTTAAAAATTGTCAAAGCTTTATATTTAAGCCACGTCAAGATGAAATCTCGGAAGGGAGGAATGTCGGTGACTGTTTGAGCTATAAATGATTTTAGCTGTACGACGAACATAACCTGACCAATTATATTCACACTGGTCGTATATGTATCAAAATTGTAGCATCTAAGCGTCTCTAATAAAATATGCAAACATAGTACTACATACCCACTAACATTTTCGATCCGATATCAAATACATTAAATGTGTCAAGTATGCCTCAAGCTTATTTCACATGTTGAGCCTATAGATTTTCACTTCACTGGAAAAGCATACTGACTATTTGTAGTCGAAATGAAAAGTAAGCTCGGTTGTTGCTCGGCTGTACATATGTATGTACATATGTATTGCGTAGTTTATTTTATATGTAAATACAAATTTTGTGTTGGAGGAGTAATAAACAATCAATTTGATCACGCTTTTTTGGCCAACTCAAGCAAAGCAATAGGTCAGCCGCTAATGCTTAGTTGCAACACATCGCTGACCGCAAGAAAGGGGGATTACTGAATCCTAACCTTTTGCCTACAGTTGTGCGTTACTTATGTAAAATGGTGCTCTAAATATTATTATTTATTATATTTAAGTATTTGGTGGCTACATTACGTTTACTGCTCGCTGGTAGACACGAGCATTATGCGTTGCTATGCCGGCTCGTATTTTATTGCTTAGCCAACGATCACGGGAAGTTCATTAATTGTATACTAATAGGTGTGTATACAGGTTTATATCTTATATACATATGTATGCTCGTGCATATACATATATAAATACAAATTTTGTATATATTTATAGCAAAGTTAAAAGTTTGACGCCGATCTATCTATAAATATATAGATACAAGTATGCACAAATGTTCACATACAGTTACTTATTGCCTCGACACACACTTATATCCACATATTTCTGTTTAAAAACTAACACCATAACATCTGTTGGAAGGCATATTAAAAAAATAAACATTTCCACGCTAATTAAACATTCTGTTGATTGAAAGAATTTACGATTTACGCATACAATTCCACTTGCCAGTGTTGCCATACTTCCATAGGTGCATTAATACCAATGCTTGTGTGTATGCGGGCACATTATGTTTGGATTCAGCGCTGCTTGCCGGCATTGATTTTCACTTCCAAGTCCAATCGTGGCCTCACATGTGGATTTCGTCTGTTTTTAAACATACGTTTTATTATTAAAATTGTTATTTAAACAAATGCAAACACACGACTTCGTGTACTCTTGTAACGTGAAAATGTATCAACATAATATACCTATACATAGTATAACTGTATGTACGCCAGCAACTGGAGAAATAATTTGTGGTTTGGCGAAGTATCGGTAATATTTTGGTTGAAAATGAGTACCTGCCACTTTGGAAAGCACTGCATATATACATATACATATATTATATATTAGGGTGGAGCGAAAAAAAGGTGTTTTTTTTGCTTAGCCTGAGGGTAAAATTTGTTTGATTATAAAAAAAGAAAATTTTTTTTTAACATCTAGAGGCTCACTTTTAAAATAAATTTCGAGTTGGTTTTGGAGTTTTTGTTTTAACTTCTCACATTTATATAAAAATTACCGAATTTCACGGTTTTTGACTCAACATTTATTTTAACGCTTAAGGAAAGCATGTTGTCGTTTAAGACTTTTTTTAAGTTGGTAACTTTTAATTGGCCAGAAAGAGGACTCTCCACAACTTCTAGAACACTTATCCAAAATTTTTTACGAAAAAAAAAATTTTAATTCGAAACTTTACTTTGAAAGTGAAGCCTCCAGATATTAAAAAAAAATTTTTTTCCAAATATTTTTTTTTCAAAAATTTTTTTTCCAAACATTTTCTTTCTTTAAATCTCAAAATTTTACCCTGAAGCTAAGCAAAAAAAAAAAAAAATTTCTCCACTCTAATATACATATATACAGTGTCGAACAAAACGAAGTTCACCTTGTATACATTTAGTTAAAAACAAAATGTAAAAATTTTGCCAAACTTTTAATTATTTTTATGAATATAATAGGGTTATATGTTTAAAACAAAAATTTATCAAGCTAAACCTCTTGTTATTACAAATAAGATTTAGACATACAAAAATTTCGCACAATATGTATATTTGCTCCGACAAAACTAAAGCACTAAACTATATTTACTTATTTATTGACCTTAATTTAAACCAGTCCTGTTAAAATTCCACCTGTAGTTATAAACCGTTATTTGAAGAGCGTGTTGAAGTAATTTTAATACAAAAAGGTGAATCAGTAACTTATATTTCGAAAAAGTTCACAATTAATCACAACATTGTCTCAGGCATTATAAGTCGTTTTCGTTCTTCGGACTCCCTAACAATAATTCATTGAGGTGGCAGATCACGTAAAACTACTAGCCGTCGGCTAGTCGGATTTGGCCATAGTGCGCTCCATAAAAAGAGATCCCTTTATATCAGCTAGACCAATTCAGACCGAATTGGGCTAGAATATTTCGTGCAAGTCCATCCAGCGACGATCTGTCGAAAATAACTTCTTAACAAGCAGAAGTGCCAAAAAAGCCATACATTTCGCACAAAAATCGAAAAGCGCGACTTG